AGAGTATTTGAAGATTGGTATGGTGAGATTAGTGTTATATTTTTGAATTTTGATTTTTTGTGATGATTTTTTGTGGTTAGGAAGAGGGGGCAGGGGGTGAGATTTTTGGTGAGATACAGAGAATGAGAGAGAAGAGATGGAGTAAGGGGGAGAGAGAGAGAAGAGAGAGAGGGAAGGAGGGAGGGGGAGCGAGAGAGAGAGAGGGAAGGAGGGAGGGGGAGAGAGAAGAGAGAGAGAGAGAGAGAGAGAGAGAGAGAGAGAGAGAGAGAGAGAGAGAGAGAGAGAGAGAGAGAGAGAGAGAGAGCAACGTCCGGCATGGTTGACTGGAGTGCCGTTCTGACCTGGTATACATATATCTCATGACTTTGGCACAATCGTTGTCTCGCCCACGTATGTCGAGGCCTCTTTCCTGGTGTGTGGGGTCAAAGTCGCCTTTGGTTTGTGCTCCCGAAACCGTAATTTTTAGGTGTTGGCGGTTCATCTTGAATCAGATGATACCGAAAAGACTACAAAGGGTCAGGCATTTTTCACGTTCGCTGTATATATGCGTAAAGCCAAATGCTGGCAGAAGGCCAAGTTGAAGTTGGCGCTCCTGTGTTTGTGATGTTGCCACCCGAGGTGCACTTTAGCGCACTTGGTCGTTTCGGCTGGGAGTCTGTTGAGAGTTAGGGGCTCGAACGATACACACGAGAATGAAAAGCAGTGCGTGGACATATTGCGGTGTCGGGCGGTGTACAGAAGCCGAAATCAGTCCATTGCACTAGTAGAGCAAACCATCAAGACCAGCAAACGGTGACTAGTCTAGTCGTTTGATTTCGGCTCCTTTAGGTCAGCGCTTGTTTGCGGCGGCAAGACTTGGAGGGGGCATCTTGCTCATCTTGCGCCGAACATGTCGTAGTGCGCCCCCCCCACGACAGCAGCAATAATGGTGCGACGGCCGTTCCACGTGCCGCTTTCTCTTCTCAGCCTACACACGCAGAAACCACGCGATGGGAAACACGTGGTATGGGGTGGAAAGCACGGCTTGGCCTTTCGATTGTCGTGGGCTTGTTCAGGTAGTTGATTGACTGTCGGGGCGTTTCCGCAACCCTGTGGGCACTTTACATGTTGAGATATAAATAGGAGTATATCGTTTTGGTTTGTCTCCGAGTTTGCGCCTCTTTTTCAGTGCCGTACGCCCGATACATAAGTTTTTCGGCCTTTTCTTCGGTGTCAGTTTGAAGGACACCTGCTGCGGTGTAGCCATTGCGTGTTTCAAGACAGCACGGCAGCCTCTCAATCTGCGCACTACAGCATGAGCCGTTTCGATTCTGGGGGGAAAGGGGGAACCATGTATCGAAATTCCACCCACCCCGTCCCGTTGCCACCCTCTGGTAAACGGCCTGTTGTTTTCGGATAAAACCGCAATGCCGTTTCGTGACCGATTGTATAACGTGCGTGTAACTGTACGCCCCCCCCCGTCCGCGCCATGTGTTTACCTCTTCTGCCCTACCTACTGTGATGCCAATAACAACAACAAACGAACAATGGTGACCGTGACCGCGGTTCAGAGCTGGGCGAGTTCATGCACCCTTGCGAGGACGAGATGGTGTACAAGCTGACGAACAGCATGGTGCCGTACTTCAACGCCGGGGCGTACCTCGACAACAAGACCAAGGTGGGCAAGGTGGACGAGATCCTCGGACCCGTCAACGGGGTCATGTTCACCGTAAAGCCCGACACGGGCGTGAACGCCTCCTCCTTCAAGAACAACGACAAGATC